CTTTTATAAGAAATGTTATGATAGAAACATACAGGCTACAATATCATTGGTTGCCAAGCTCTACATCACTGCAACTAGCCATAAATCTGACATTTCTTAGACAGTATGTCTAAGTACATGGACTGGACATGTGCCAAGTATGTATGTTCTTAGGGTTCATCTAAAGTTCCTCTGTATGTCTGTACAACAAGGCCTCATTCCCACTGTAATCGGCCCGCGCGTACAGCTCCGTGCTGCCTGCATGACCGTATCGAGCAGCTCCCGGGAATGACAGGTGCTGCGTGTGAATAATACGCAGCCCACGTCCTTCTTTATGGGACTATGCGTCCCCCTATGCTCACCTGGCCTGCACATCCGTAGGGGTGCGTGTGAGCGTACTCGTACGCTGACAAGATGGATCCTGTCTGCGTCCGAGCGAGGAAACACACACCCCTACGGACATGCACTTGAGGTGAGTGTAGGGGGGCGTGCAGCTGCGTAGTCCCATGGAGAAGGAAGGGGGCTGCATACTAATCACACGCAGCACCTGTCCTTCCCGAGAGCTGCTCGATACGGCCACGCAGCACAGAGCTGTACGTGCGGACCGATTACAGTGTGAATGAGGGCTAAAGCTAGTCAACTTCTAGGACTAAATAACTTTATCTATTACATAATATTATTATTATTATTATTAATAATAATAATAATGTATGTGCTAACTAATATCAACAACATGACGTGTATGAGTTAGTATCAAAATTCCACTACAATAGTGAATGTATGTTTTATACAAATACTTCTGTATGCAAAACGATGGGAATGTATGACTTCACTGTGTGTTCTAGTAGACTAACATATAACATTTGCCTATATTATGCCCAAACAAATTAGACATATCCTAAGTCCAGGTTGTATTAATTGCATTGTTTTGTATTTGTGGGTTGTCTGTGGTCAGAGACAGAAAATGAAAGTCTGTCCTTCTTTCCCTGAGCTCTAAAACAACATTAATAGATGGCTGCAAACAACAAATCCTCTAAGCTCATTTATGAGGTAGGAGCACGCAGTCCAGGCTTCTCACATAATTACATAGTTCTGCAAAGCTTCCATAGCAACATGTTGCTCTGTGTAAACATATGCAAATGGGAACTTTTAGTACCACGCAGAGTTTCCGTCAATCTCCACCTATATAACTGGGTAGCAGGTTTACAGAAGTGAAAAATAAAGGAAGGAGACTATGCATAATTGCACAAGCTATGTCTGTCTTAAAGGACACTTAAATAATCCTGACATTTTCTTCTGTTCTACGTCATATCTACACAACAATACACCTTTGTGTTATTCTGTGCCCTTTCATCTTAACCCGTTCATCTTTTCTTAGAAATCTCTTAAGAGATTCCTAAGAAAAAGAATGTACATTAAGAAATGCCAGGCATCTTTGCTTACAGTGAGCAGTAAAAATAGGACAAAACATACAGAGCAATTGAATGTGGGAGCTGCCAACACATCATCATATGTTTGCAGAGCCGGATCATTCACAAGGCAGCCTAGGCTGGAGGGCCAGTGGGCCCAGCTTAATCGTTCATGTAAACCACAAGGATGGCACCATTGGTCAAAGCTGTGCACCTGCTTGTCAAGGGAGGATGTACCTGTGGGCAGTTGTTGTCTGATGGGGAGAGGCCATGCTAGAATAAACAATGAAAATACAATTGCAATGCCTATCAAAGTCAATTGAAGGGATGGGGGCATGGCTGCTACCTTGCTTAGTAGCAGCCTTAATTGGTCTCTGGATTTCTCACTTGATTTCTGATCTTGTTTTCCTTTTTCCACAGTTTAGAGCCAGATGGGACACAACGGCTCTATTCCTAAAACTGACTGATCATGCAACTGTCACTCACTCTTGCCTGCAGGGATACCCCCTCCTCCCTCTGCTTCTTTAGTGCTCATTGGAGGGTGGGCAGAGCTTGCTCTGGCTCTAGAGAGGCAGAGCCAGATGTCAATCAGACAGTCAGGGTGCAGCGTGGCCCTGCACTGCCATCTGCTAGCAGCCATTAGCCCTGTAATTTGCTGACTTTGGATCAGATGAGAACACTAGTAAATATACCCATGTGACCTGAAAGAAAAGTAAAGTCAATGTCTGTTTTTATTTTAATTTATTGTACTAATTTACAAATTACATTATTATTCTCCATGGCTCATTCAATGTCCCTGCCACAGTCATAAAAACCCACTTATTTGGTTAGAAGATATCTAGGTACCAGCTTGTTGTCAGATTATGAGAAAACTGGAGTTAAAGCACACAAGCAAATGGAGAATATCCTAACATAAAAGGACAGCTTTTAGCTCTGTCACAAAAGTAGTGAGGCGTATTTTAATCTCTGGCTTCACAATGATTCCAGGGCTCCATTTTGACTTTAATCAGCACTATCTCACATACACTAATGTCATTTCTTCTTTTCAGCAGGATACTAGTAACTAAAATACCACAGATCTCTGCTGGTCATCTTTGTTAATGATGTCAGAACACCAGGAGAACTGGTTATTAAATCTATGTTTGGAAACCTGGACATCACTTCATCCAACCTTAAACATGTGATGATAAAAATATAGGAAATCTCTCATTCCAGGCTTGTTTGTAAAGGTACAGGCTGTGATCTTAATTCAGGCTTTGGTACCTAGTGAGTCAATGACCTGGAAAAAGCATACAGCCTGTAAAGTATGCATTCTGTATACAGTACTTGGTGCACAATAGTGGATGAATGTTTCAACCCCATAGCAAGTCATCAATGGTAGCTCCCATACTTCTAGCAAAAAGTGCCTTTTATATCCATCTGTAGTAATTTATATCTGTAAGGAGTGTGCCTTACCTTTTACATTACTTAAAACGAGCATTTCTGTTCTATTAGGCACTAAATATTAGTGTCAGTCAGCTTTCCTTTAAGTTGTAGTGCTGATACCAAAATAAATTGGTGGAAGTTCTGCCACTGCTGGTGCCACCATGGTAGAGCATGCACTACCTAGGGAATCCTACAGGGAAATCTGCACCTCTCCACCCCCACCCATAGAAGCAATTTTACTGAATCATAGTTCCCTGTGTTATGACTATTTATGGTTTGCAAATCTGTTCCCATTGGACCATATCTGTTATTAATAACTTGATACAGGGGTTCCCCTTTCCAGGCTGCACCATTTGACATTTGAAGCAGACCAGCAGGATCATGAGACCTGATTTTAGAAAACATTGTCTTATAGTACTGTCACAATTTTTTTAAGTTTATGTTTTTTTATTTATACAGGATTTGTCTACTGGTGCCTTGACATCTGCTTAGACTTTACAAGATGACAGAGTGGTAGAAAATCACTGCTACCCCCACTGACTTCCAGCAAGCTTTGCTGCAAAAGTGACCTGCTACATGGGTCACTTAGGCCCCAAGTCAAAAGCAATACCAGTACCAAACAATTGTTCTCAATTGTTCTCAATTGATATTCGGTCACAGAGATTTCTACTAAGTCATATACATCTGTATCCAAAGTCAGAATAGTACCCTAAGCAATAAAACCATCGTAAACAGGGGATGTGGGCCAGACAGAAATGATCTTTCATTAGCCTGCTAAAACTAAACAACTGAAAGCATATATTGTATTCTATATAAAGGGTTATTAATTGATGCTAGTTATCTGGCTGTTGCAATTGTTTTTAACATTTTAAGACTCCTTGACCTCAATAAGAAGGACCATCTAAAACAGAGACAAACAGAGTTATTCACAAAAGGGTGAAGAGTTTGGAGAAGGCAGGAGAAGTGAACAATCTAGGCCAATATAGCTGATTTGGAAACATTCTCCAATTCAGCTCACTTTCTAGATCAGCTATTTTGGCCTAGATTGTTTCTCTTCTCCTGCTTCTCCAAACTCTTCACCCTTTAGTGAATAACCCTGAAAATGTCAGCATGAAAATATTGTGTTTCATGCACCAGTACAGCAGTTGGCAAAATAATACTGCCCGGGGCAATAACAGCAACAGTTTAAATAAAACTTAGATTTAAACCATATGAATAAAAGATGACTGCTTTAAGAACACTCATAGTGTTATAGTTTGTGCCATTCTCAACATTTATTCCGCTGGCTATAGTCTGCATGTAAATGTGTAGAAAATATAAATGTATGCTTGTGAAAAATACTTATACTTTGACTGGTTCATCCCTGGATGGTTTTAATTGGTTGCCCATAATCATTGACCTTTCCACATCTTCACAGATTAGTACACTGCTTCACTAAGTAGACTATACAAAATTATTGTGATTCATGTCACCTTTATGGTATAAATAAAGCCCAGTATGTTTTAGAAAATCAGTATGATTGAGGTGATGTACACCTGGAAGCTTTAACATCTTTAAATAGTTAGTTTGGCAGGACCCAGAAAAGGAAAGCAGACGGAAAAGGACTAAAAGTGCCTGTGGTCTGTGTAGCTAATCTTGCACACCATCTTTGTGGAGGTGGTCATATTGATAGAGAACGGGCTTGGCTTCCTCATATTAGAGTTGCCCCCTGATGACTAGTGATCTGATGAATGGTATGGGAATATTCAAGAATCAGCAGTAGAGGTTCAGATTCACAGAATGAATGAAGCAGAAGCAGCAAGGTACAGCTTCCTCTCCAGCAAACCCTCAGGAGAATAGTTAGCGGTAGTGACATTATTACATCTCATTCCAAATCTTGCAAGTCTAGCATTTAGAGGTAGCAGTGCCTTTGATGATGTTAACCGGCATATATGAATGCATGAGGATTAAGGCATGAACCAAGGTGGTACATTCTAGTCGAAAGGTAGATCTTTCAGAGTACAATAAAAATTTTGAGGTGTTCCATATAAGATAGCAAATTTTAAATTTTTGAGTCGAGGTCCACTATAATAAAGTGACTTACAGCATAAAAGATTTTAATAGCGTTCCCTGAATATATTAAATACGGGTGTGGTACCGGCAAGGTTACAAGGTATACAATACAATACAGCAAAAAGTTAAACTTACCGGGCAGAAGTAAGTGCTCTCAACTATATGTTGTGCAACCGTGTTATTCTCAGCTGATAACGACATAATAAAGAGCAAGGCATCCCGAGCCTGTTGTCCCACTGTGCCCTCTCGGTGGATAAAGGGTATCAATAAGGAGAAGATAAGAAAGTTGGCAGCTCCTTGGTCTTCACTGGTGTGAAAAAACAATTCTAAGATGGATGGATCTTTGGCAAGGATTGAACATAACTGGTTAAGTAGAACAACCAGTTCAGTCTCCACACTCGGAGTTGATGTCCCCGAACAAGTACTTAATAACATCATCAATGGCTTCAGTATAGGCTTGTGATGTAGCAAAGGCTGATGAGACTGGGTCACCAGCAAATCATACATCTTTAGCTGCTCAAATTTGGTCTCATCAGTAAATTCTCTCCTGAGGCTCCATAGAAATAGTTTCTCCATAATATTCTCTGACACCACAAACTCCAGAATAGGCCCCATGGCGGCATCTTTCACTTTCTCTTCAATTAAAAGCAAGATCATGTGTTCCACATAATTCTGTACGGCACTAACTTCATCCGCAGAAATCGATCCGTATCTTGCATGAGAGTTCTTAAATGGGTCATGCTTTTCCAAAATGCGCTGAACCTACGAGAACATAAAAATTATATAAATGCAAAATATGAAGGTCATACAAATAGCACAGTTCCTTTAAACATCACAAGTGTTTACATATTAATGCTGTAAATGAATAGCGGTTTTAAATATTTATACAGAAGAAACCAATTTAAACATCAGCGCAACATCATAGACAAAAATGCATGTTTCAGAATGAGCAATAATCTTAATGAAGCTTAATTTGAACCACTCTCAGTTATCACATCATATCACCACAGTGTAATCAAGACACTGTAAATGTTCATTTGCAATATTTTGCCAATTGGTGAGCAGGAGCCAAACAGTCCCAGAACTGTAGTACACTTGTTTACAATGCTAGATATATCCATTCCCTGTATAAGATGAAATATGTCATTAGGAATCTGAAAGAGATACAAAAAGTACAGAAAACTAAACTGTGGCATATTTCAAAAAACAACTAAGCGATAATTAATGTGAATTGCTAAACTGCAAATGCTCTCCTGGAAATGTGCCATTGTGCTAAAATACTAAATTGGGCCAACCTTCAATTTGTGTTTTTTTTACTCCACACTCCTTGGTTTAACAAACTTCTCTTCTTGCATTAGAGTAGGACTGTAGCCTCTTGTCACACGATCTTGTGCTATGCTCACTATCATAGCTCACTGTGAACACACTGGTCTGCCCGAAGATGGGCTTTAGTCACTTTTAAATTCAGCTATATGATGTACTTTTGTTATTCTCAGCTGCAGTTTTTATGTTTCCCAATTGATTTTACTGCAGTTCGTTTAGCAATGATATAACACTCCTGAATAAAGGTAGATAAATAAAAATGTACTGTATAGCAGTTGCTACATATTGTAGAAGTGGGTTTCAGGCATTCATAAAATCCTGGACAAGGCTGTCTGAGCACCTTCAGTGAAACATTCATTCTGTTGCATGAGAGACCAGATGTTGGAGAGTTAAACCACCTGACAGCTTCAGGATTCTTATTACTTATCCTGTTGGAGATTATAGAAAATGCAACAGGAGGAGCTGAAACACAAACACCCAGTTGGACAGGAACAGAGTTAGGGCCCGTTCACACCAGTTGCAGTGCGTTTCCGACCCGATTCTGGCCAGAACGCACTGCCTCGCATTGCGGCCGGCTCACTTTTGAGGGTTAGTTCACACCATAAGCAGTGCGCTGCGGTCCGATTCTGGCCGCAACGCACTGCCTCGCATTGCGGCCGGCTCACTTTTTTGACGGGCATGAGAGGGCGTGGCGGGCCATTGAAGAGAATGGCACCGTAGCCACGCTCTCCGCCCGCAATGCAATAGTGCTTGCAGCATTTTGATCGCAACTGACCACAGGCACAATGTGCTTTGCGATCCTATGCAGGCAGTCGCATTGCGGCCAGAGGCCGTGGCTAAGGTGCCATTCACTTCAATGGCCCGCCACGCCCCCTCCTGCCTTGCAAAAAAGTGAGCCTGCCGCAATGCGAGGCAGTGCGTTCCGGCCAGAATCGGACTGGAACGCATGCTTATGGTGGGAACATAGGGTGAGTGGGGCAGGAGGGGACATGGCGGACCATTGAAGTGAATGGCACTGTAGCCATTTATAATTTATCAACTATTTTCACCCACAATTCACACATCTTTCACCTCTTTTTCTAAAATACTATTGTGTGAAAAATGGGTGAACCTTTGGTGAAAGTTGTGTAAATCTTGGGTAAAAACATTTGTAAACAGGCCCCAAAATGTAGACATTTCATAGACGAGGGCAGCTGTACTAATAAAAAAAAATGAAAAAAACAACTGTCCCTGTTCAAAGAAACCAGTTATAGTCTGCCTTGATTTTTTTTTCCAATAAGCAGCAGGAAACATGGAAATTGATATGTAACTGGTTTTTGTATACAACACAACTCTTTGTCGGCTTTCACATACTACACCCAATGAGAGCACCTGCTGCACCACTTTCAGTTAATAATCAGATAAGTGCACACAACTACAACAGGTATATTCACCTGACAGCTGTTACTTATTAGGTTAGATAATGTTCACAACTCCAAGGTGACTCATTACATATTTACAAAGAGCTTCCAAGGTATCTGGAATAGGCACGAACCATGTATTGAGCTAATTGTATTGTGTCCCGTGCCTAATATCTACTATGGGGTCTATTCACTAAGCTGCCGTAGGAAGCCGAGTGAATGACCGACCTAAAGCGAAGTGAGCCGAACGCTGTTCGGCTATTCACTTCAGGCTTGTACGGCTGATTTCAGCCATATATCGGCTGAAATCAGCCATACATCGGGTGGCTTCGGGTCGGCCAAACATGCTCAGCATGTTCGGCCAACCCGAAGTGCAGAATTAGTTCGACTCAGCCAATCCAACATCTGGATCGGCTGAGCCGAACCTCCGGCAGGCTACTCGCTGCTGTTCGGTCTATTCTTATAGATGCCGAACAGCAGTGCCGAACAGCCCTTCGTGGGACCGAGCAGAACAGAAAAATAGTTTAAAAAGTAGAAAAAAATAAATAGAAAACGATTGTGCGGAGCTAGCAATGACAGCTAGCTCCGCCCAACTGTTTTCTATTGGCCGGCAGTTCTGCTGCCGTCAAAAACAAGAAAAAGTCTCCTTGGCGGCCGGGAGTCTCCCGCTCCCGGCCGCCAAGGAGAGAAACACTGCTTTTTCTTTATTCTGACACGGCTTCATGTCAGAATAAAGAAAAAAAAAGAAAAAGAAGTGTTTCTCTCCTGGGCGGCCGGGAGCGGGAGACTCCCAGCGCCCCTGGGAGAGTTTGCTGTCTGGAGATCAGTGTCCCTGGTTAGCTGGTAACCAGGGACGCTGATCTCTCTGCAAGTGGCCTGAGCTAGCCGTAACATCACGGCTGGCTCTGCCCAGCTGTCAGAAGCAGGCTGTCGGCCGGCCAATGGCCGGCCGCTCGGCCAGCTTTGGCTTTCAGCGCGGCCAGCTTTGGCCGAGGCATATGCGTTCGGCTCGACTGAGTCGCTCGGCAACGTTCGGGAGCTGTACGGGCTATTGTGAATAGCCCGTACAGCAGCTCTTTGGTTCTACTGAACTGAAGGGGTCCTGGGGCCGAAGCTAGCTGAAGGATCGGCCGAAGCTACGGCTAGATCCTTCGGCTGCTTCATGAATAGACCCCTATGTATCTTGTTTAAAAACACTCAGTTACACAGTTATGCAGCACATGCAGTATGAAGTATATTAAGGAGCATGCATGGGTATTAAACTAACTAATGTATGTGTTATTCTATTCTGAATTAGGTGCAGGCCCTGTAAATCATAACTATATAACAATTTAGTTATGTAGACGTAAATGAGCACATAACCCTTGGAGTGAAGGGGTAGCCCCACTGCAAGGGTTAAGTTTTATACTGGCCAGAGTTCTTCTTTAAGGAGTGTTTACATAATCCTAACACTGTAGTTATTATTTAACTTTCAAATAAAGTCCACCCACTGAAAGAACAAACACCAGTCATCTAAATGTTAGACCTGCCATTCTGTGTGTTAGTTTAAGTGGAATGGAGCACCCTCTTTAGGATTAACTTGCAGACACCATATGGTCAATGAACGCCTTGGTGAATCTTAAAATGGGTACAAACTATTAGAATTTTGTACAAACATTCATACGAAAAAATCTCATTATAACATATGACAATGTTAGCAGAGACTTGAATGTCGTTTGGAATTTTTGTTTGGTTTTAACATTTGATTTTGGAATGAATGTAGTTTCCTGAATAAAAGCCGCATTCACTTTAAGAATTTTGTTTATTTGAGAAAAACATTTCATCCCGTTCCTTAAATTTTTTTTTGTCAGTGAAAAACAATCATCGATTTTAACCCCATTAACTTTTAGAATTCCTAATGCACGTTACGAAAACGACCATGTACGTGTATAAGCAGCTTAGGCTCTTTACAGTTTACACTATGGGGTATAGTTTCATCTTCTGACAAACACGTTTAACATCAACCCACATACTGTGCTGACCCTGTATAAAGAAGGCCATTATGGGAGGTGTGAGGGATTTGATGCTTCGGATAGTAATCCCATCTCATAGGACAGTAGGCCATTGAAAGCTTGCTGTCTCTTGATTTGTGATCTTGGTGCCATATGTCAAATCCTTTATGTGACAGTTTCTGAGACTAAAGAAGTCATTCCACTTTCTATAGAAATAGAATATGATGAGTTTTAAGACACTCAGTTTATGTGTGCTCAGGATGTAACAACATTCATTTGAATAATATATTCAGCTTCACTAACACTTCCATCTGGGTTACTTTATATGCTTTACCTGGTACTCGATCGGCACCCTTGGAAAGCAATATAGAAGAATTTTAGGTGAAATTGAAAGCTATTATTCAATTTGCAAGTTTACACATTTACCTGTGTAAATTAAACCAAATGGATTTATCTCTGCCAGGAGAAAGGGAAGGGGTGGGTCCCTGTTAATCATTCAGAAGGAACCTGTTTTACTGAACCACTTTCTTCTTGGTTTTTCTTTTTTAATGATGTATATGGTAGGACTGTCAGAAGTACCAATAAAGGAGCCTGAATATATACTGAGAGTTTATCAAGGCTGCTATTGCTATTCTCTCCTTCTGAAAATGCTGGCTGTCTGGCTGTCAAGTCTCTAAACTTGCTGGATTCACAGATGGATGCAGATAGTTGCGGCCGCTGAGCCTGTACAAAGCAATGAGAGGCTAACAGCGACCGCAGCTGTCTGGCCATATTTGGGTGTAATCGCACAAGGAGTGATTATCTGCGGTTAGTTGATCGCCCTTGGATGTACAGCATGCTGTTTGCTTCCAGGGACGATCATTTTTCCCTAACCGCAGTTAATGGCGCCATGTGCCATTACATCCAAACACAGGTGGACAGCTGTAGCCACTGTAAGACGGCCATTGCTAGGTACAGGCTCAGCGGACGCAACTCTCTGCATCCACATGTGAATTCAGATGCAGGAATCCGGTGTATAGTGCTTCAGTGGGCACAATTTGCTGTGTGA